TGGTTCAATGCTTTGATTGGAAAGTTGGAAATGGAAATGAGGGTAAGGTTAATATGCAAGTTGGCGCAGGCATGTCTTTGCCCATGGCTCATCCACTTATACTTTTACCTGTTGATCACTTCAACCCATTTGCTTCTTCAACATAGTTCTATGTAAACTTGCATGTGGGTTATGCAAAACAAACTTATGCTAAGAATAAAGGCAAGCTATATGCGTATTTGTGTTACTCAGTACGAGATAATGAAATTTGATCATAGACGCCACTCCATGTTTAGTATGTCATTGCGAAAAGTATACGAAGTATAATGTGTTCTTGAAAAATGATTTCTCTAAAAGGTAACTCTGGATCCTAGTATAGGTGGTTTTATTTTCAAGAAATTGAGATACAATTGGCGGGCAAAATTTCTTAATTTCTCCCCGACTCCTATTCTCGTTCACAGAGTTCACATGCGCATAACTAGTAACTACTCCAATTGACCAATTCTTGATTAATAGCGAAGGCAAAACTATAGACAGAGTTAACTGGAATTATCATCAAATAGACTCATGTTGTACAATTGAATTTTTTGCATTGCAACATTGCATTACAACGAAACACAACTAACAGAAGAATAATTTGAAGTCCACGATGTCCAGGGTAAACATACAAGTTGAATGGATCTTATCATTCATTACAATTGACATGTAAATTGTACAGCCTCAAGGTTGAACAGCCTCCAGAAGTTTCTCATATACTTGCCTAGCAGACAAATCCTCCACCTGCAATAATCACCAAATGATAATGAAGAAGGCCAAGCAAGATCAGCTTTAAGCAGTTTCTTAGTTAAATTGGCATCATAACTTATACATAATTCAGGGGTCTATTGCATGCATAGCTTCTATCAGGATGCTGCCCAAGTGAGGTCCCCTAAATGAATTGTAGTTGCTCTTATTTTATAAGCAGTCGAAAAAATTAGAAAAGGAAGAAATATCATGTCTTGTTTTATCTATGTTGCCAAAGTAGAAATGTTTGTGCAACAATACAGTAAATCGGGGAATAGTGCATGGCAGCAAAATTATTGTATACAATGCTCTGAATTTTTTTATAACAAAAATGATATTGTTCTCCTTAACATAGGCACATTTTAAACAGAGTATGATACACCCAAGCTGCCACCAACACCCACACCCATGAGAGAGAGAGAGAAAGAGAGTAAAACTTGTTTAACTCACCACAAGGAGTTTCGATTTATTATTCCACCCTCTCTGAAGAGTCATCTGGCTTAGTCTCAGACCCAACACCTGTGTAAAAAGCAAGTGTTAGATTTACACGTTCGAAAAGATTGGCTTCTTAGGTTAAATGGCCTAAGATGAAACAGAATCATACTTTGCCCATGAACTCCAAGAGTTCATTGTTTGCTTCTCCCCGAGCTGCAGGTGCAGCCACAGTAACTCTAACATCATCAGCATTCACTCCTGGCATAAGAGAAAAAAGTGGGAACATGAAATTTAAGTCAAGGAACCAGTATATTTAAAATATAATCAGTCATTTAAATTTCTGGTATAAAAAAAAACTTTCTTCTGGCAAGTTTTACATATTAAAACTGCCAAAGCAGACAGCCCTTGTAGAGGTGTATATGTAGATATCAAACTTAAAAGTCAGCAAGGACTAGTGCTCAGCGCACACGAAATCCAAAATAATCAAAAGAAGTATATGCGCGAATTGACTTATGATTTCCATTCGAACTAACGAGTTGCATGCTAAAAATAAGACAGAAATACATTAAAAAATTTCTTTTACTTGTGATGGCTGACCGTTGTGCACGGTCTTCCACTTCTATAGCCACTTGAACAAGTCCTCCATCTAGGTTTGAAATGCAGGGTGGCACAGGAGCATCCTACATCACATATCAGACTACCCAATTAGGAAATTTGGATCACACTGTAGTAGACAGTAGTCTGAACTGCCATGCTCAAGACAAACTTTCTTAATAGTTTCCCAAAATGTTTACAACCAACAGATGGATACAATGAGAAATAAGCTCCTATTTCCCTTAATTTATACGAAGGAACCCAATTTCTGAATGCAAACTAAATATGAGCACGCAAACAGTTTTTTTCACAATCAAGTCAACAGATGATGACACAAAGCCTTTATAAACTACCTTATACCTGTGGGTTGGTTTCAGCAGCAACCGTGCTTAGAGCACCATCAACAACATAGATGAAAGAAGCACCTTCCAGATCTTCTTCTGAGCGATAGAAAACAAAGAGTCCACAACCCACACAGTTCATACGAAATTGCTTCTCCATTTTCCCCTCACCCCTGGATTAATAACGAGCAAGATTTCAAAATATGAACTATGATGATACTATCACATAAATTGTACTTGAAAAAAAATCATTAAACTCTATCTTGATTGAAGAACATAATGCACTGACAGGACAATCTCGAGGAAGAACATAAGTATGAAAAGGTGTAGAAACAAAATAGTTTCACAGAAACTGTCAGACAAACTGAGGTACAAGAAACTGAAGGCAGGTGATCAGCCACTGTTAAACAGAGAGTGTCATCCAGTCCAGTATACAACACACATCAGTAAAAACCCAATTGTTTTCTTCTTCTTACAAACTGTATAACACTAAAGATATCATACTTTCATTAGAAGAAGAAAGAAGAACCTTTTCAATACAACTTTTCCAGCCTCAGCAATGTTAAGCCTTGCAAGATGTTTGCTCTTGTCCAACACATAAGCTTTGTCAGTCTTCCTTTTGGGCATTTTCTGCAACTGGGTATCTTATACAACACACACTTCAGTATAATATAAACTGCTTGCCCACAAGTATTATTCAACAAACTCTCTTTTAACAACCATTATGAAATATCCAATACCAATTAAAATGAGCAATTACACCAATTTCTTTTTTGAAACATATTAATTTCTGCTCAAAAAAAATAACCCAACTACAATCAAAAGAGAGAGAGAGAGAGAGAGAACCAGTTATGAGGAGGTGAGATCCACAGTGCTTGCAGTAGTAGACGAAGAGATCAGAGTCAGGTCCATCTGGAGCTGCGTCCTCGCTCGAGTACGTGTGTGTTGTTCTCTTCGGCATCACTTTCTTCTCTTCTCTTCTTCTTCTCTTTCTTCTAACGCTGATCGAATTGGGTACGGCTGGAGCTCCACCAAGGCACTGTCACAAAGCTAGGATTTACTAACAGCAAGCCGAAGACTTGGACGACGTCGTTTTCATGTCATGTTATGTTCCATTAATTTAAACACGTTGGGCCGTAACCTGATTGTGTCGGCCCGGACCGGCCCATTTAGATGACTAATCCTTAAAACCCCTAGAAATCTCAAACTTTCAACAGTCTTCTCTCTCTCCTCCCCTCTGTGTAGTAGCTCCTCCTGCTTAAGGTAAGCTCAGATCCGTTGCTCAATATCCTTACTTTTGATCAAGTCAGAGTCTTTTAGGCTATATGATTCATCAATCTCTTTAGTGTTTGAAATTGGAACAGTTTTCTAGTTTTGCTTAGATTTTCAGTTTGGTTAAAGTTTATGTTTTTACGGACACACTTAGTTGCTTGTACTCCTGGAACTCAATCGTTGATAAATTTTTCCAGAATAAAATCTTCAAAAACACTTATTTTGTCAGTAATATAATGTTTGGCAATATTTGTTCTAGTGGGATTTGTCTAATTATGTATTTGTTGGGTAATTTTTGTACCTATCAGTGGGTATGTAACTCATCCATGGATGAAAGACTGAATTTTTGGTATCTGGGTTTATGTTTTTATGGATACAAATAGTTGCTTTTATCTCTGGAACTGATTGGTTGAGAAAATTTTCCAGAATAAAATCTTTAAAAGCACTTCTTTTGTCAGTAATATAATGTTTGGCAATATTTGTTCGGTTGGGCTCTGTCTAATTATGCATTAGATTAGTTGGCTGATTTTGGTACCTATCAGTGGGTGTGTAAGTTGTAACTCATCCATGGATGAAAGGCTAAATTTTTTGTATCTGGGTTTTAGGAAAATCACAAAAAGGCTTATCAATGGCAGTCACATTCCATGACATCAACTCGGCTGTTGGCCTGAAGAAACTGGATGACTACTTGCTTGCCCGCAGTTACATCACTGGCTACGAAGCTTCAAAGGATGATCTCATTGTCCATGCAGCTCTTTCAAAGCCTCCACCATCAGAATTTGTGAACGTGTCTCGGTGGTACAACCATATCACTGCACTTCTTAGGATTTCGTAAGTTCTTATAACTTGTGATGGGTTTCTTTATTATTAGATTATGATGGATTTCTTCGAAGCTCATATATTTGGGTTAAATCTTTGACTTATTTGATGATGCCTGTTGTTGTAGTGGTGTTTCTGGACAAGGCTCTGGTGTCATTGTTGAGGGATCTGCTCCCATCACAGAGGAAGCAGTTGCTACACCTCCTGTGGCTGATACAAAGGCAAGCACTTTTCTGCCCTATTTACTGAGTTCTTATTTGGATGTCTGTTTGCTTTTTTGCTTATAATGTGAAATGTTAGGGTTGGGCTATTATTGCCTTATCCGCTTTAAGAAATTGCATACAATTGTTATGCTCATGTGTTAGAATGTGATACGGTTTTCAGGCCTCAGCTGCTGAAGACGATGATGATGATGTGGATCTGTTTGGTGAAGAGACTGAAGAAGAGAAGAAGGCTGCTGAAGAGCGTGCAGCTTCTATCAAGGCATCTACAAAAAAGAAAGAATGTTAGTTTCCTATCCGATTTTCATCCCTTTCATATTAGTTTCCTATTTTGTTTTCAGCCCTTTCGTATTGGTTTCCTATCTTGTTTTCAGCCCTTTCGTATTAGTTTCCTATCTTGTTTTCTGCCCTTTAATATATCCATCTCCTTTCCCCTTTCACAGTTATTTATTTTGTTCTGAAGGTTTGTTGTTGTATTTTTCCATTGTCAGCTGGAAAGTCATCAGTCCTGTTGGATGTGAAGCCATGGGATGATGAGACTGACATGAAAAAGCTTGAGGAGGCAGTAAGAAGTGTTCACATGGAAGGCTTGCATTGGGGAGCATGTAAGTTCTTTCATCTAAGTTAATTGCAGGAATAAGCTGAGGGCCATATTTTCTAACCATAGTTAGCAACAAAATTTGGCCATTGATATGCACTTTATACATTAGCAATGTGGAAGTCAATGTTATGAAGTTTTTAGTCCTCTTGATTGATGCTAAACCAACCTTTATGTTCCTAATTTGGTTATTTATTATCTTGTTGATTCTGCAGCCAAACTTGTAGCCGTTGGGTATGGAATAAAGAAGTTGCAGATAATGCTAACAATTGTTGATGACCTGGTCTCTGTTGACACTCTTATTGAGGAACAACTTACTGTTGAACCAATTAATGAGTATGTCCAGAGCTGTGACATTGTAGCCTTCAACAAAATATGTAAGTATATTTAAAGTTTGTAATCAAGTAATCATTTAATGGACTATTTGTTCGAGATACGAATCCTCACTGTTGATTTATCCTTACCTTTGTTTCTCATTGCAGGATTGGAGCATGGAGTGTTCTAGTGTGAGAGGGGTTGCTAGGAAGATATTTTATATCTGCTCATATCTTGTTTCTTGGGGAATGATTTGAGACTTTATATTATCTTTGGTTATGATGTATTTTATTTAGCATTCCTTTGATGAATAATATGCCAGTCCTTTGTAGGTTTGATAAGACATCAGTTTATTATCATTCATATTCTCAGTTTTGTTATGTTGGTGCTTGGAAGTTTGTTTTGTTTGCTCAAGGATTTCATCTTTATGGTTCTCAAAAGAATCAATGGTTCAAGGATAATATCTGAATTTGATATATATGCTCCACACGACTGATATACCTAATAAAACATTTTGTAGTAAATTTTTAATTTAACATCACTCTCTCTTTTTCTTTGTTCCAAACCACATTACAAAATCTCCAAAATTAAGTAAAAACAAACCCATGATCTCATCCATCCAGACTCATGCGAGGAGATCTGTTATCCCATTGTGATAAAGTTCTTTAATTCTTCCTGTTGCAGTTTTTGTGGCAGGTTTCCAGTGTCTTTCACAAGAAATGCATCTGCATGGTTAAAATGACTACACTTATTATTAAACCGCAAAGTCTGGTCATATTGTGCCCTTAATCCTAAGAACAAAATTAAGCGCAAAATATGTACCTGATTCAAGATTGTGTTTATGCATTATGCAACGTACAATTGTAAAGAGCCGGGGTTGAGCTTAAGCTGTGTTGATCCTTAATACAATATTCTTTACATGCTGGACGACATTGATAGAAGGGCATACATTCTTGTAATAAGCAAAAATGCATACAATTTTGATAGCAAATAAGATCGATGACGACGTTCTCGTTAAGAGCTCTAGGTGACGCAGTGGGAGATAAGAGATGACGAGGAATAGACGACATTGTTGGTGTGGCTCTTTCAATATCTTAGACATATTTCATCAAACGGTGGTTGAGTGTGAGTGGTGTTGGTATGAGGAATATATCTTAGACATATTTCATCAACTACTTTAGTTGAGAAAAGGGAAGACAATGTTGGTCTTCCCAATACTACATGACTCTTGGAAAATGATAGTAGTTATTTAAGAAATAACATTTTTTTAAAATTAACAAAGTTAGGAAAGAAACTGGATTCTAGCGAAGAAAAAAACAACTACACTAAAGGCTCGTTTGTGACTGTTTACATTTGAAGAACTTTTACTCATAAACGTTTTTGTTAAAAGTGCTTTTATAGAAGCCTGTTGAAATTTTTTATTAAGAATCCAAATGTTTTTTTAAAAAGTACTTGAAAGTGCGTCCTCTTCGTAAAGAAGCACTTATTATTTCATTTGTCTACTGGTTGTGCATATTGTTAAGTTGGTGCAACCAACATTCTTTTTTCACCAAGAAATTTTTCCTGAACCTCAAAGAAATTTAGCTAGAAAAACCTTTGGTGGGAAGGGAAAGTTAGGATAGAAATTGAGGCAGAGGCAAGGCTGAAGAACAATCGCGAGCACATGTGATATTACAGAAAATGTAGCGAAGGAATTTAGAAAGGCCATTTTCCAAATTAAGCAAACATCTTATAATGAAATCAAGACAAGAACTTATAACAAGCCCTCATTGGAGTAATAATGTCCAAAAACACAAGATGAACACCAGACCACACTCAACACACATAATTGCTTAATTGTGTTATAAATATAAAAAAGATGAGACAAAAACTTGTTGCGTCTACCCAAGTGCAAGTAGTCACACGTAGTAATAATCTTGGAAGTCCAAGTATCGTATCCTCAAGGAGCAGGTAGGCAAATCTTTGCACATAAAGAAATAATTAAACGTACCAAAATAAAAGTGACAATCAAAATGGACAAGTAATTTGATTCGATTGTTGTAGAGATTGAGTTTAAAAAATGAAATATCAATAATGGAAATGCTAAGGCATCAATGTTCAATTCTTTAAGCAAAATATGTTTCATGCTCTTTAATCCAAATTAAACTAGATTAAAATTATCATTGAGAAACTTTAACCGGAAGATAAAGAAATTAAAACCAATTTAATTTTTCAATGTTATCTTTTATTAATGATTGTTTAGAAAATGGAGTTGCTTAATTTAAAAGCATGCTAAGTCAGTTCTTAACAATGAGAAAAATATAATTGAACTCATGAAAAGATAATAGCACTTAACATCAATCAAAATAAAAGGATATGAAAATATTGAAAAACCAAAAATAAAAGAATTTAGCAATTCATACCGTATATTGGATTAAAGAACAATTCACAAACTTACTCAAAGGATATTCCCTTTAGCCTTAACTAGAGTTCTAGCAACTCATTACAAAGGAAAACATAACTAAATTTTGAATGAAATGGATAAAGAAATATGTCGTAGTGGTCCCCTTGCCAAATAAGTTGATGGGTGATTTATAGTAGTCAATGAGGTGAGTGGGAAGTTAATACACTCGTGGTGGGTAATGAAGGGTTTAAGTGAGGGACTAATTGTATTAAACATGTGATGATGGTGGAGAGTTGGTGGAAAAGAAATAACGGTGAGGTAGTGGGTGTTAAATGGCTATGAATGACATGAAATAGGCTCTTTAGCTTCAACGGTTTTGTCTTCTCTTCTCCCTCTTTACTTCTCTTTATAATCACAATAATCCCACAATCAATTCTTTAATAAAATCCGCCAGCAATT